AGCTAAGTTAACTACTGTTAATTAACAGTGACAAGCTAGCTTCACTGATAAATACAGAATATGTTTTTGTATAAAGTAGAATGCTTTATAAAACATGGCAGATATATTGGAGCAATACTGAAATACGAAACTAAACAAACACTAGAAGTGCAACAAACAACTAATTTGATAGTCGAATAATCTATCAATTACTGAAACGAATAATCGATTAATCGGATTATGAATCACTAAATTACCAAATACCTTTTATGTAGCTATTAGGTTTTAAATTTAGCCTAAGGTTGTTTTATGCATTTACTAACTAACATTGAAGACAGTATAGATGAATAACATTTAAGAAATCACTGTTTTAATGAACTTTTTTGCTAATACAATAGATAAAAAAATATAAGTCCAATGTATTTTTCCTGTCAAAATGAATAACCAAGGACGTGCAAAGTAGCAGCAATAAAATATAACAAAACTAAATCAGTTTTCCTTTAAGTAAATAAAAAATCTATCTAAATTTAACTCTAAATGTTAGATTTAAACAGTGCAGTCTGTGATCTGTGCATTCTGCTGTCTGTCTACACTTCGCTGCGACTAAATTCTACAATAACAGTTCTTTAGTGAAACGGAGGAAAGTCAGTATCTCTCCGCGCTCCTGTGAGGGTCTCGCTCTCCTCTGAGAGCAGATACTCCCCGCTGCAGAGGAGGCGCGCTCTGATGGAGCGGAGGGGAAAGTGGCGAACTTCTCTACGAACAGTTAAATTAACGATTTTGTGAAAACATTTAATTTCAGCGGTAACCCTTTGTCCAGCTACCTAAACTGTTAGCGAGTGGTGGCCAGCGTTCGCGGAAAACTGAAAACTGTCTGTAAACGCTCTCTTCTGTTCGCAGAATCTGACCGCACCGGTGGCCTCGGCGTTAAGACGACGATGCGGTGTTTGTGTGAACGTTATCTGGAAAGTGAACAGGGTCGCTGTGAATTATAATAACAGTTACTTGCTTCTCTGTTCCAACTCCTTTAACGATTCAAGAGAACAGCATTCCGAAAATTAAAATGTTACAGCTCGGCTCACGGCTTGAAGTAGGACGGCTTTTAGCGTTAACATCAGCTAACTAGCTCGCTAGCACAACTATCGCCGTGTCCCAAACCACACACTTCTGTACTTCACACACGACACTAATGAGTGCACCTCTAATGGTATATGCGCCATTTTTACACACTATTTAGTGTGCTAGTGTGCGGTTTGGGACGCGGCGTATTTGACAGAGATGAATCTTAATCCAGTGAGCCGACGAGTTTCCTCTCGAGAGGCTCCATCATGGAGGATGTGCTCCCGTGCCAGCCACGGTCGGCTTTACGAATAGCACAACTGATAACCTTTTTTCCGAGTTCAGCTCCACAGTTTTGAGGATTTTGTTCTTGACGCTGCCATCGCGCGCTGTTAAGTCTCCAGTAAGCTGTAATGTCAAATCGTTCCTAGTGAGCGTGAGAAAGACGCGTAATGACGTCACCAACTAATCGACTACCAAATTAGTTGGCAACCAAGTCGAATAATCGTTGCACCCCTAACAAACACATTTAATTTTAATGAGTATTATTATTTATCTTTCATTTATAATGATGAAGATTTTACCTCACGTAATCTATTTTTATTATTGTACGACTGAGGTTACCCAGAATACTGTGAGGTTGTTTCACTTAATTTCCTTTTTTTCATCCCTTCTTTCATAGAAAACAGTCACTAAGCATTGGCACATGATCTGTGACATTTCCATTAATACCACTAAATCGTGGGCCATCAGTAATATATGATATCAGGCAAACAATATATTGGGTGGGTTCTAGTGAAAAATACAGAAGATTTTTCTCTTAAGTTGAAGGAAACATACATGCTTTATTAAGGATAAAACTGTAAAACTATGTAATGTTCTGTATATGAAGTGAAGGAATTGTCCTGTATATACACAGAATATGTACTGTAAATTTACAGAGATTTACTTAAAAAGAGTGACTGAATTTTCAGTTAACTTTACGGAAAATGGGCCAGTAATTTTTTGCCGGTACATAATTTACACTTTGCAAAGATTGCAGCCTACAGGACCTGAACTTCTGGACGTGCCATTGAGCAAATCTCACTGAACAGCTGCAAATGTTAATGACTCTCTCCAGGTCCTATAATACCTCTCCATTTAGCAAGAGTGTTAGATCGGGAAAATAGCCAATCTGTGCTGGACTGTGGCCCCATGAGACTGGAAATGGACACCTCTGGTCTAAACCCAATATCCACTTGTCAAAATGAATGAAGGGTCAGGACAGAAACTCAATAGGCTGTAAAAAGGAGGAGAAGATGGAGTCAAGAGTCAAGCGTTGCGAATAGGGGTCATTATCTTAACCCCATAAAAATCTCTCCTTTTCCCGGCAGAAGGAAATGGAAAGAACATCACTTTAAAGAAAGTCAAATGACCAACAGTTTTTTTGAAGTGACCTCAGAAGAACCAGGCTGAACTTTATTCCAGTTACATTACAGACAAACTGACCAAACACAGGACTAGAAAACCCTTTCTCTGAAATCCTCTTGCATGATAGAAGCTAACAAATTCCATTAGTTATTTTCATTACATGCATTTAATTTGTGCATCTTTAATTTCTATGCTTGGCTTTTAATTTCTGAAAATGAGTAATTAAGCCGGAGTGAACCTGTGAACCTAAAGGACAAAGTGAAAGGGGAGGCGTTTGATTGCTTGCCTTTGTGCTCACTGCTTTTAATTGCTATGCGCTAATGACAATAATTGTCCTCCAACAAAGGCAGTACAAAGACACATGCAAAGATGATTTATTTTTGTCTGGTGATTTGGAGAAGCACTTCACTGGGTACAAAATAATCTCCTCATGTCTCTGGCTCGAAATAAAAAACAATGTCATGAATGTCAATCGTGTAACACGACTATCATTAAGAACATCACGTTTCGTGCTCATCTTGCTAATAGCTTTATATAATTCCTTCTATTATCAGTCGTCTTTTTCAAGAATCTTTTTCAGCTTTGTATAAGTGAGGGGAACTCGTAGTGTCATAAAGCATTCATGGAAAAATCAAAAATTGCTGGATTATACAGGCAATAATTTCACTGTTTTACTTTAAAGTAGTCACATTATGAAGAAAATAGAGACAGATGACAACATGAAACCTCAGGTGTTTGCAGTCAGTCTCTTGCCGATTAGTTCAACTCATCTTAAGGTTGTAATTAATATTCTCCACCACAAAATAGTACAAATGCAATTCTCCTGTAGGTTTTTAAACCTTGAGATGGAGAGAAATGTTTTTAAAACAGTGTAAGGTCAGTTATTAAATCATCTACACTGTACTTACACCCATTGGCCATTTTATCAGAAACACATAGAACAGAGGTCAGCAACCCAAACGTTAAGAGGAGCCATTTTGCCCTTTCAAAAAAAAAAAACAACAAAAAAAAAAACACACCAACACCACCACGTTTTATCTCCATTTCACCATCTTGGCTCTAATTGTGTCTCAGTATGTGCTAATGTGCTAGTATTGGCAAAAATATTAAACAAATTTAATATTAACGAAAACGCAAACTTACTTTGCTCTGCTATAAGCTGTAGCTTAGCTATAGCCGCTTTTCTAGCATCTCAGTCAGGAAACTTTTCAGCTAAAGTATAGTTTCTTTTAAAATGTCTGTCAACGTTCGACTTTTTACGAGTAAGCTTCTCGTTCGTTAAATGGTGCCTGGGGCACCAGAATGCAACTGCTGCGCCATTTAAGGTGGAACAGGGAAATTCGGAGAAGAAGCTGACGAATGAGAATCTGACTTCAGCTTCAACAACTTTTTCGTGTTTTTTCACAGTTTCTCATTGCAGATTAAACATATCAGGAAACCAGCTGAGTGCTTATAAAGGCAAATAAGTCAGTTCGTCTCCAAATTATTGATGTTCATCTCAAATCTTTTTCTTCACCGTTTCATTAGCTACTAGCTCAGCGAGATTGTTGTCTGCACTGCTGTGTGACCAGCAGTCTGCATGTCAACCTTCAGGGTTAAAGGTTGGTGAATTAGCAGTTATACATTAACTCCAGCATTTAAGACAACTGTGTTAGAACTGGGTGTTATAACGATCATCAGAGCTTTATTTTACTACAAAGGAGGATTATGTTATTTTTACCAAAAAATCTAATTCTGCGGTGGAGTGGCAATAGGGCAGTAAAAGAGCCGCATGTTGCTGACCCCTGACCTAGATGCACCTTATAGGCTTACAATTATATACTGTAACCCACCTGTTGCTGCACAATTTATCAGCCCTCGAAAATAGCTGCGGAATAGGACCACCGCTAAACGGATATTACTTGGATGAGGGACTGTTCTCAACACAGCAGTGACACTCATGTGATAGTGTCTCAGTAGTGTGTGTGTCAGTTTTCAGGCACAGTAGTGTTGCTGAGGTTTTGAAACACCTCAATGTCAGTGCTGGGTTGAGAAGTCCACCAACCAAAAATATCCAACCATCAGTGGTCCTATAAACCGAGCATGGCAAAAATTAGCTACAGCCACTAACTGCACACTACAAGGTGTACCAATACAGTAGGTGTTTCTAATGAAGTGGCCAATAAATGTATGCTTACTGGCCACTTATTAGATAAATTTGCTCTAGCTAAACACAAACCACCGTGCTACTGTCACTGCTGTGTTGAGAATAGTCCATTACCCAAATAATGTCTGGTCATTGGTAGTCCTATGGTGGTCCCCTTTCCAATGATAAACTGGACAGGGTCCTGTCTGTAACTGTAAAACCTACAAAGTGCACTTATATGGTAGGTTTTTCTTTTAAAATGGTCAGTGAGTGCTGTGAGTACAAGGTAGGTGCACTTAAACTGTCTACTCAGTGTACATGTACCTGCTGGAATAACCAGCTGACCACTATTAGACAGTGATTAACTGAGAACTGACAAACCTATAAATCCCATGATTCTTACACAACCCATGAAAACATTCAAACACAGGTTTTAGGGTTTATTGAATGAAAACTGCAACCTAACAAATGTCAGTAACAGAATGTAGGCTAGAGTACTAGCTTACATTTACCACATATTATTAGCCAAATGAACAATTAATTAACAATTATGGCCTGACTGGGGCTAGCATGAAGTTCATATGCATAGATTAAACAACAATCAATTTAACCATGACACTAACCCATACGGTCGACAGTTTATAGCTTTTAAGCTTTTTTTGTCATAGGACTAACTACATCACTAGCTACATGGCTAACTATCAACTATTAGCCAACATCAACATTTGTAGGCTATAGCCTAGGGCTACACTCAACAGAAACATGGCATACAAGCCATACAACAACAGACCCATAACTCTTTGAATGGGGAGAGACCAAAATACTCGAAACTGAAGGTGAGATTACTGTTTTAAAAACATGTTTGGAATTACTGGTAAAATCTGACAAAGACCTCATAAATGGATTATAGTGTTTGGCTTAGTAACACACCAAAACTGTGCTTTTTCAGATTGTTCTGGCTACTGCGCTTATGCAAATCTTGACAACGATGGGGGCTTTCCCAGAGATTCTCTAATATGTGGCGCAGGGTCTTTGGCTTTCCCTGCTCACAGCATATCCAGCAAGCTGACTGGCTCTTTTTCTCGAAGGGCAGGGCTTTCTTCATGAACATTTTTCTTTTTGTAGCCTACCTTAACACTGTGTTATGAGGCTAAATATCCTGTCATTTATGTTGGGAAATACCAACGTATCCACATGAGCACAATCTTTGACTGCAACTTGTCTGGGTGCCAGGGTGGACTATTGGCAAATGGCTCAGATTCGAAAAGCATGGATTTTCATCATATTACTGTGATCTGTAGCTAAAAATGTGCTGTATCAACAGCTCTGTCGGTTAAAATTAAGTGGAGTCAAGTGGACTCCAGAAAACCCAGAGTTGTGCATCACTAAGCATGACTACCAGAACAAGTTGTGGCTTTGTGCCCTCATGAATACAATTCATGAGGGCACTTCAAAAATGGTCCTTAAATCGAATGAAAAAGCCTGCTTATTCAAAAATCAATTGTTTCTTGGAAGTGAACCGAAAGCACTAGCCAAATGTTTATTTGTCAGTTAATGGTTAATTGGCTAGTACAGGTACTAGAGTAACTGTAACAGTTGTTGAAATGCAAAGAAACAGAGGTAGGCCTACACAGAGGACTGCAGCCACTAGTAGAACCCTATTCATGTTGGCGCCTTGAGATGACTGTTAAGAGCTGAAGAAGCTTTGAGGGCTGAAGAGCTCTCTTCTAATGAAACCTTCCAGAAAATGGCTCATGACTGCCTTGCCGGCACACTCTCCAAGCCATAAATCAGCAATCACAAAACTTATCCAGGCAGCCAGCAATCACATTCTTCAAGAACAATCACTACATCTGGGAGGCTGGTGCGTGAGAGTGCTATGCTGACCGAGTCATTGGCCATAATACAACATATGCCAGCCAGACAGAATGAGCAAGACGTTTTCTGGGCCAATCTGCCTGCTTACTGACCGCCACTGTGTGCAGTCAGCTTCTGGCTGCCCAAGGGGCACGTTGGAAATCTCAGTGCAGCCGTGGGGGACAAATCCACAGCTTTTTTACTGCTGATAAGGCAGTGTTGCCTTACCTGAGCAAGATTAAATTATGTTTGTCTGCCATTCCAGTGTGTTTGCTTTTTCTGCATGTAGCTTTCCAAGAAAAACACACAAACACCAACTCACTCTCAGGATTCTTTAATTCACTCTCCAACACATCAGCATCCTTTGGAGTTGGTGTTTATTTACAAACTTAGGATGGGTATAAAAAGAATATAAAATGAAGTAACACCATCATATCACTAAAAAAACATAAAGAAAGGAAACATGGGGTGTCTGGCTGGATGCTTTGATTCAGTCATGCTGTCATAGAGCGTTCTGCAAAGCTGATGCTTTTCACCACTTCCCTGCGCTTTGTTCAGCTTGAAAGATTAGAAGGGACTAAACTCATCGTGCATTCTGACTCTACAGACTTCCCTCCAATGGTTATCATCAACAGTCGTCACCAAGTTTTTCTCCAACTTCATAATTTCAGCCAGCTTGCTCTGAGTCTAGCAAAGTCCCTCACTCCTGCTATCAACATACAGAAGCATTAATCTTGATATCAGGGTTGGTTAGAGCTGCACGTAGCATTTCTGACAAGCTACTATACTGAAAAAAAGTGATGCACTAAATTTGTGATTCAAATGTACATAATTTGAATATAACATTGAACACAATTCTTGCTAAAAGGAAGTAAACTTTCAGATAAAATTGTGCTAATCCAATATATATTCTTAGTATGGAAATTAAGTAAACACAATGCACCACTTTTTTCAGTGTAGTTCACTTCCAATGGCTTCAATGTCCTCCCACCTCTGGCAATAGTCATGTCATTACTGACACCAGCGGCAGATGTCAATGGCATATCAGTCTGTTCTGACATTTTACTGCATTACACACTAAGGGTGGGCAATACGACAACATTATCATGATATATGATGTCACAATATGCATTTGAGTTTAATCAATATTTCTAGAACACTGAACTACTGTATGCATCATAAAAACGTTAAAAAAGGCAGATTATAGACAGCCTGTAAACAACAACAACCACCACCAGTTTATAGCAACTGCATAAACTGCAACTTTACAAGTAGCCAATTGGATGTCTGCCCATTATGGTTTGTCTTTGAATTTATTAATTAATTTTTACCAATTGTTTGATTTTTTTCTCCTTTTCTATCATAGTTTAATTTGTAAAATTTCTACAGCCTTTTTTAAACATGGCACTGCTGCTTTCCTGCTGCAACCTGCTTGCAAATGTCACAAAAAATAAATATTGCGATACGCATCATGTATCGTAATGTCTTCAACTAACAAGATGTTATGTTTTTGCCATATTACCCACCCTTTACTACACACAGCTTCAAGACTAGACTCCAGTTTTCAGCAAGACAACAGAAAGAGGTCTACTGGCTGCCTAGAAGAAGTACAGTACAACCGGATCTATGTAGTGTATAGGAGTCTGCCTGAGATTGCTGTATTGCTGGTCTTTGCAATTTGAACCTCCTGGGGTGTCTAGCTCTAGGAGGAAGGAGGGTCAGTCCGTGGCTTTTTAGCTTCACATGTGTCCGTATCGTCCAGTGGAGAGGAGCAGAGAGCATTCTGTGAAGAGCTATTGGCGTTCTCTGTTGTAACTGGCTCAAACCTACTGTCAATCAAGGCCTCCTGCTCACATTTCGCATCCTCTTCTTCCTCTTTTTTGACTCCTCCCTTCTCAGTAATCTCTGCATTTTTGTCATTCGTCCTCCTTTTCTTCTTCAGCCCAAAGTCTTTCTTCTCCTCTATCTTCAGCTCTATCTTTACTTCCTTCTTCCAAGCACCATAAGGTAGAATGTCTGCATCACCTCCAGAGCTTTCACATAGCATTGGCCCCGCCCACTCCGGAATCTCCAACCCTAGCAGCTTCATCAGTTGACTCATGACCTCGTCGACGTAGCCATGGATACGCAGGTGGGCATGCTTGTCCTGCAATGATGTAACACAATAGTAATTAAACAGCATATATTGAAGGATACATTGAGTATTCGCTGAAATGGTATAAAAAGATGATGAAACACTAACAGGTTTCTGCTGTGAATTCACTTCTCTTGAATACAGTATTGTTATGTATGACCCACTTGAATGACCTACCTCTGCCAAATCAATGTGACCTGTTAGTGCATAACAAAGCCACGTGTGTAGTTTTTCAAATACCTGCATTTAAATGAATTGATACATTTTATTTAAAATAAAATGTATTCTTATTTTACATTTTATTTTATTTATACTACACTGAGTAGCATCCGTTAACACAAGGCGACATCTAATATTTCTGCATTTCAAACAAGATTAGTCAAAAATAAATCCAATTTTGGCATTTAGCTGCGAGACCAACAGTAAGCATGACGTAAGTAGGGGGAAAAAAAAATCCAACTCTTGTGAAGGATTCAAGTCGAACACAGACAGATGCCATGGCCTACAAGTGTAATAGGATTAAACACTGAATAGTTTGGCAAAATGTGAGGAGCTCAGGGGGAAAATGATCTTAAGCACTAAAAACAGGGGTAGGGGGGGCACCAACAACTCATTCAGCAATACAGCTTTAGAGCACCTTAATCTATGTGGGTTTTGATCAACAGAATGTACTTGACTGAAATTAACTTTTTTTTGTTTCAGCATAGCTACCCTGCTGACTAAACCAATCTGACACCTGTTGATGTCACATGGTTGTTGTGCAGATGCAGTGCACAGAAGTCTCTTAAAATAGCAGTGGAATTAAGACTTGTATGAGTGTGTCGTGATGGTGGGTGGAGAGAGACTGAAACGGGGAGACTGCTCACTGTGTGTGTAATAACTCACATGTTTAGTTGGCTGCAGATTGACGATCACCACCTTGCCTCCGGTACGTTTGGTCAGAAGAGGCAGATCGCCGCTGGGCTTAATTTGTAGAGACGTACCCAATGTTAGGGCCAGGTCAGCCCTCCTACGCACAAACACACACACAAAACACTCAAATACAAACAGACGAATAACATGACTGAAATGACTTATAATGTGGTGATTGCAATGTACTGGCTGATGCAGGGTTGCTCAAGATATTGTTTGTTAAAGCTACACAAAATAAGATTTTATTTTTATTGTTAAAACTCAAAGTAACATTTAGGGATGTTCCAGTTAAGATCACCACCTTGCCTCGGTATGTTTGGTCAGAAAAGGCAGACTGCTGCTGGGCTTAATTTGTAGGGATGTACCCAATGCAAGGGCCAGGTCAGCCCGTGTACACAGGCTGTATCGGAAGAGTTAATGAATGGATATTTGTTCCACAAAGAAAAATAAAGGCCCAATAAAACAACAGACACAACAATAGAGCAGAATGTAGAGGAGCATGTTTTACTCTTCAGAAGCTGAAGAGAGACACCGGTAGGCTATTGTTTTGGATGAGTAGCGGAGGCTGCCTCTTCATATAAGCTAATGAGCTAACAGAGCTAACCAGTGTCACGGTGGATGCTGATGAGGACTCATCATCTACAAAAGGTATTTTGTCCTGCGGATGATGTGTCCAAATGTTATTTGTCAGAGAAAAATCAACTGAAGTATCTAGTTTAATTGATGATACAGCCATGCTATTTCTGCCTTCTCAACCACGCCCTTAACAACACGTCCTTGGCCATGCGCTCAGGCACTCATGTGGAGCTGTATATTTCATCGTTTTTCCACTGTGAAACGTAAGGACTACCTCAATAGTGATTTTAGTATTAAAATACTGGCACCTTGAACTGTTAACAAGTTTTCTTTGAATACTCTCAATGCACTGTCTAAACTCTTAAGTCTACTACTTACAGATTCCCCACACTTCTGTAAAAATCAGCCTTCATACTGTCTCATAAGGGGTGCCATCAAAACAGCCTCTCACTTGGCAGGGAGTAGGTGGCAGGAAACCTCTACTGTGCATTTGCTTTCAGAACACTACGTCCTCAACTGATGAGCTGAACATTGACTCATAGTCCCTTTGAATCTGTTCACAGCCATATTACCGTATCAGCAATCACATCTTGAGGGGAGACACAAAAAAAAAACAACAAACAAAACAAAACAAAAAAAAAGCCTCACAGCTTCTCAAGGGCAGCAAACCATTTCATCGCATGAATGCCGAGGCCCAGTGCGCTCAGCCAGCTGACAGGACACTCGCAGAGCTCCAGAAATAGAGGTCAGGAGCTATGTGGCCGGACTTTGTGGTCTTCTCACTGTCACTGGGTGTCTTTGCTGTGGGCGTCTTGAGACGGCACGCACAAATTCAGAAAGCGTGACAGGGCTGAGGATCCCGCGCTAAAGGGATTGTGCACTCGCATTTTCCATCTATGTGCAAATGCGTCCATATTGTAAGATTTCACAGCCTCAGCCCTAAAGCAGCCACCTCTACCATGATATGTATGGGTGTTGGTATAACTACATGACCGTGTACAGAAGCCCACAGCTACCTGCACTTTATTCTTTGAAATGTTAAAGAAAAATAAAAATCAAATTTACACTATTTTCTCCTTGCGTCAAATTACAGTCAATCATCCAAGACATGTTTGATGTCCAAAGTTTGCCATGAAAATGGACAAGTTTTTCACATAGCTAGAAACAGGAGTAGCAGCCATCATAAAGCCTGATTTTCATGAAATGTATGGAATTTTCCATACACATTTTTATCAATAACGGTGTGTCATACAGTGCCAGAAACCACATCATGAAGTTTATTTGAGATTACTTAACTCTCCACAGTAATATGATTTGGGTCATATTGGTGGAATATGCTTCCATTACTTGTTAGCTACACTACTCTCACAGCTCCAGTGCAAAAATTAAATAAGCAAACTTTGGACACCAAACCAACTGATATCCTGATTGGCCGATAATATCTACCATATTGATGAGCTACAGTTTTATCGGTATCTGTGAAAAGACCGAAAACACAACTGCTACCATTTTTACATTAAGACTCTGAGTAAGACTTGTAAATGTGACCGATTAGAACTGACAATCATAACTGTCAGTTTAACTAAGAGTTGTTAACTAGTAAAATCTGAAACATAGTCATTTTCTTAGTGAAAATAAGTTAACACATATTTACAGGAAACAAATTTAAGTGTTTCTTTAAATTACTCTTTATTTGCTGAGGCTAGCCTATTAAAAAAAAACAAAAAAACATAAAATGTAAAACAAGCTACTTTTGCACAGGCCACATTTTAAGTTGCGCTTTTTCACCCATTATGTTCAATTTGGCAAATAAACAGTAAATGTGCATTAAAATGTGCAGAAGTGTGTTCACTGTAGAGGATGTGTACTTATTTTCACTTAGAAACATGTCATTTGGCCACACTGCCCATACTTTTGCATATTACTGTACATATAAAGTTATGTTGGAAAACCATACAAAGCCATTTAAAGTTATAAACGTATCTTTATGGAACAGTCATTATATCTAATTAACAGAAAGCATAGTGGATGCAGTTGTTACTGTATATTGAAGTTATTTTTACCAGCATGTTTCAGTGTCATGCCTATGTTAGCCAATCACTGTAAAACATCTCCCCTCAGCGGAATAATATATCTTCCCTTATCTTTTGGGCTGTTATCATATATTAATCAAGGCTTTGTGGTTGCTGCACAGCACAAATGCTGTATTGCGGACGTCCGTCTGGGTGTATGTATGTGTGTATGTGAGATAATTGTGTGTGGGTTAACTTTAATGTGATTAAACTGTGACAGTAAAGCTCTGTGACCATGGCTAACATCTGCTGCAACACAAAGCGATAAGCGTAACGGCCTTGTCTCTCTCCACCTGAGGGATGCTCTACCACAACGGCCCTGTCTGGTCTGTCTCTGTCTCTCTTACTCCGTCTCTAACTTGCCCAACACACCTGCTCGCTTCATCAGCCCTGTTCAGATCCCTGTCAGGCAAAGAGTCCTCCCAGTCCAGGATGGTGCTGATCAGCTTCCCTCTGCGGAAGAGCAAATTTACCAATCAGATATGTTCTATTATACACATGCATACACAACTGCACATATGCTTTCTGTTAAAAGACTGGGGACTTTTCATAAACAAACAAACACTTTTTAATAATCAATAATAAATGTTTCCGCAGCATTAAATTGTGTTCTGAATGTGTTTGTAAGCTTTTTCATTAACTCTCATAGTGTAACCATAAAAGGCAGCATTGAGCTTCTTTTATACAGTGATGGAAAACACATCAGCACAGAAAGTTTCAAATCTACATGCTGGGCTATTTTACTCTGACCATGTCGCACATGGCCCAACAACTCTGGGGGCAGATTGTAACGAGTTAACACAGACAGTGACAAAGTCTTTGAATGTTTCACCAATATGTAAAGCAGGGTACAAATGAGTGTCTGTTTGTTATGGGTTCAAAATAATTTCAGCTGGTTTATTTTGATCAAAATAACATTGCACATGTAAATATTTGTGACAGTATTTGGGACAGTGAATAATGCTAAAGCACACACATTTTATCCACTCGTTGCAATGTCAGCACTCAAACCTTTCAGGTGTTTAAACCAGCTCTGAGCCAAATCAACGTTAATATGTAATTTTAACAATAGTTTGGAAAAGAAAGGTGTCAGATAGGGGTGGGTGCCATGGCAAAAATATATATCATGGTTTCGATACATATATCAATAGAACGCTGCTGTTGGAACAAAACCTCATATCTCAATTTTTTTAGTCATTTTTCAGTTTTTGACACAATTTGAAAATGTCTGTTGTCCTTTACATTGTGTGTAAATTTCATGATGAATGGACCAACAGAAAAATATATATAAATATCAAGAAATTTTAAATACACTATGTCACAATATGCATGGTTGGTGACATCTGATTAGTTGGATTGAACAAAAAAGAATCAGTGTGCCACATTAGAAAGTAATCTTATCAAAAACTATGAATAGTTATTTTTACTAAATGCTTCACAAACTCCAATGGAATGTGACTAATTATGCTCTCTTTGTAATGAAACACATTCAGTCAGTGATATTTAAGTACTGGCAATATGGATGACATAGGAACTCAGGAAAGCATATTATGATATGAGTGTGAAGTACATTATCATAATAATAATTAATATTGACATATTGCCCAACCCCGTTACATCGTTATTTGAGCAAAACTGCTCTTCATACCAAGGAAGACAGTTTGATGATCAGTGTGGCAAAAACAACCAGAGTATTAGCGAAGAGCTGTTTTATGATAATAATACACTTTTTTCTAACATAACTGAAATTTTTTGGATTTTTGGCCACTTGCAAAGATTACAACGTTGACTACATCATAGACAAGCCTGTCCAGATGAAGGGTGCCATCGCACCAGGTTGGCAATATGGTTCCCAAACAAACATTGGAGGAGAACCACTGGATGTTAATGGTGTTACTTGTACAATATAGTTATCATTAGAAATTATTAAGTAATATTAGAAGCTATAATATTAGAATGTGGTACTTTGAATTTGGATTGCAGTTATATTGTTTATCATGATAATTCTGCAGACAAATATGATTTGTCTAAATTTACATTACCGTCAAAACATGGTCATGGAAGGAGAGGGGTGGCCACCCAGAGAAAGCAAATTCAATTATGCTCTCCTGTACTCTCAGCTGATGAGGGCAGTGGCATTATCAGCCAGGGATCAAACTCGCAATCTCCTGATGATAGGGCCAATGTTTGGACAGTTGTGCCACTCAACGCCCCATATGTTCAATTAAAAGGGAGGCAAGGTGTCTCCAGACTTTTGACAGGCAGTATACACAAAAAAAACACATTAGAAGTGTAAAATGCCATTTCAAGGTGAAAATTCAAATACATCAAGTTTGGAATCAATTATATTTGATTTGAACATGCCAAACTTATATTAATAACTTAATAAAGCAAGTTCAATTTTCAATAAGCATGTTTTTAACCAAAATAAGTTACTCTAGCTATTTTCAAATGTAAAAAATCCCCCCCCCAAAAAAGGGAGCCTGGTTTATTGCTTTCACTGTCTCTATTACAGTGCTGTGTAAATATCATCTTCAGTCATTTTCTAAAGAAATGTGATTGAATGGAAGCAGTATGAGGTCAGATATTTATCCCCTTAACATGCACATACAGTTAAAATCAAGCACACACCTGCAGGCTCGGAGTCCTCTGGAACGTGTAACTTCGCAGTAACGCCCGGTGGGCTTCAGACCCATCACCCCAATTACTGTGTCACGCACGTACTGCCTGTTAAAATCCACAAATCCCACAACAACCATTACTGGACTTCATGTGCATGTTCAAAAATCTTGTAAAATTATACAGAATCAGCCTTCAGGCAATTTAACACCCAGAACATTCAAAACAACAGAGTGACCCATCCTCCTCCCCCAAACCTTACCACAATTCTATGAATAAGGGTTAGATGTCACAATTAGCTGAGCCGTACTACCGCTGGGGGAGGTGCTGGTTGTGGCAGTACAATGCGAACAGCCGCAGTGATTTGGTTAATAACTTGCGGTGTTGCCAGCAGGCAAGCCTCAGGCGCTCCTGCCCTGGAACCAGTGCTGGACACCAGGGGCAAGGACGTTGTAAACAAGGCAGGACACGTCATCGCACTTTAGCTACTGTCACTATACCCTGAGCAAGGCTCTTAAAGCCCTGCGAGCGCTCCAGAGGGACCAGGGCTCAGACCGTGCCTTCTGTTTGAGCCGTGATATGACTGTTTGAGTTCACGTAAGAGGCAGGGATACAGAATGGACAAAAGAGATTTAAACTTGTCAAAAACTTCCTAAAAGTTCAGTGTAATTCTCAGAGAACTTTGTGGTTTATTAAATAATTTCAGTCACCTTTATCTTCTTTTAAAGAAACTCCAAGATCCAGGCGTATGAGTTTGACCACATGCTAGAACATCCAGGGTGCTTGCTAATTTTCACTGGAACGTTTGGGGAGCCTCTTATTGGCACTTTCTTATTCTCTTGGGGAGTTTGTCCTTTTGGCCTAGGTCTTGGTTCCTGTCTATATTTCTTCCTTATGCTCTTAGGGAGGTTTCTATTGAGTCTTGGATCCTCTCAATGACTGTTCCTCATGCCCTTAGTGAGCTTTTCAGTTCTATGTCTGGGTTCCTTTTAGTGTTTCTTCCTCACGGTCTTAGAGAGTTGATTTAAAAATTCCCCATTCACTTTCACCAATTATATGTTGACAATATTAGGACTGAATTACCTACCATTTAAATTTTTTTGTATCATTTTATTTTTACTGTTACTACTGATATGACTGATGATCCTGATAATGATTTTGATTATTTAACTGCAAATATTACACTCAAATTCACACACACACATGGACCAGATGAGTTTGTACAGATAGTACAGATAAGTCAAAGATTAAACTGATGAATTACCAAACTATCAGCAAAATGTATGCACACTCATTTTACAATCAGACTGGACAGATAAGGACAGAGTCACAGTAGGGGAGAAAGAAAGAAAGAAAGAAAGAAAGAAAGAAAGAAAGAAAGAAGGAAAGAAAGAAAGAAAGAAAGAGAGGAGAGCATGAAAAAAGAAAGAGAAACAGAAGAGAAAGAGAGTAAGACAGAAAGAAGAGAGACAAAAAGAGACACGGAATAAAAAGAGAGAGACGACAAAGAGAGAGACGAGAGAGAGAGAAGACATGCAGTCAGAGCAGCAGAAAGCCTCACAGGGAAAATGACACAGTAGGTGAAGACACACTGAAGTGGCAGAGGAGAGAGAGCAAGAGAGAGAGAGACAGACAGAGAGACAGAACAAAGGAAGCTATGTGGAGGGAGACACACAGGCCAATGGGTGAAAAATAGAAATGGCAGAAATACGTACTTCCCACATTTCTCGCATTCTTCAACAAACATGTTTCCATGAAGCTCTGACAATCGATCCCTGAGAGAGAGGTGCGGGGTTTAGTGACAGGCAGGGCGAGAGAAAAACACAAAAGGTTCAAAGGATAAGAAATATGCTTTCAAAAAACACGCAGCTGATGGCTTTTACTCATCCTCTCTCAATCACAAGTACATCTTAACATGTTAATGTGTTCAATTAAGCAGCAACACTTTCATCTCAGACATACAGGACAAGACGACTGCGTCAAGAAGGCAAAATTAGAACTCAGATGTTTCAATCAGAGAACGCCACTTTCCATCATTAACAACAAGCTGACAAGAGAAATGAAAGCTCCCAGTAAGCAAAGCAGCATCAAGCACAAACTCAGGTTCAGAGATGAGCAGTGCTGAGCGATACATCATTAATACCAGCGTACCGGTATTGGTGAATTACTATTTTTTAAAAAAGAAATACTTTCTAATGATAAAATCTGATACTTAGTCACTAAGTCTAAGTCACTTAGACTGTTCTTTTTTCCCCAATTTTCTCCCCAATTTAGTCGTCTCCAATTCCACCCACTAGTTAGGACTCCCCCAATCACACAATACTACCAGCGCTAGGAGGGTGAAGGCTAACACAGGTATCCTCTGAGACCTGTGAAGCGCTACCACATCTTTCGAACTGTCGCTCACGCAACGTCATTGGACAGCCAAACGCGCTCAGAGGAAAGCGCCAACCGCCAGATCTGTTACGTCAGCTAACAAGACGCCTGCGCTGACTAGCATCACGCTGAGTGATAGGGGGAGAAGGCTGGGCCATCCTACCCATCCAGAAAGCAAGGCCAACAGCAAACCTAAACTTTTCTGTGACACTTTCACAGTTAAGTTCAGTTTCGTGAATGAAAAGGTCACAGGGTTGTATTTTGTACATGATTCTAGTGAAATGTGGTGATCTGGCCAGCAAAGCAGAATGTTTTTGGTTTTTATTTTTTTGCACAGTCACATTTTTGGTGTGTGTGAGAGAAAAAAAAGGTCACAATAGTGTATTTTACCAGGTATTTCATGGCATGTATGAACATATGCATCCCTGTAAAATACCATTTAAGGGCTGTAAGTGTGAATGACGCAAAGCCCAAACGTAGAACAAGTGACAGTTCACATATGCACAACTTGTCACTGTATATTCAAGAAATCACAAGATGTAAAGTCTGTGCTGTTTTGGCATATTTTTCTTTCAAAAAAAGGCGTTATTCAACAGGCTGTTGGGATTTTCTTTTTATTTCTACGTCACAGCAAAGTAGTCCCTCCCCCTCCACTAGGATAACCACCCCCACCATCCCCGCCTTTATAATGTAACTGCCACCTCTGCTATTTCCAACGCGATTTCACAGCAAACACCATTTTGGATGTAAACAAGAATACAAGTGCTGTCGTTGGATGCCAGGCTTCATGATGTCCCCTCCACAACGAATGTTAGCATCCTTTTTTGCAAATGCAGATGTCAGTTCTTGGCTAAGCGCTGAAAAAAATAATTCTATTAAGTTACTAGGCTACATGGGCCACGTTTCAACTCTGAGTACTAAGTTTTCTGGCCTTAATCTGACCAGTAATACAAAACTAAAATGGAAAAGTAGTCTTGGCTAAGCACACATTGCTTGGATATTTTTGACGGGTCAGTATAGAACGGTTAACATTAAGTTAGCAAGAAGCCACTTTACCCTCCATTCATGTCATGTTAAAAAGCTTATATTGGCACCAAAATGGCACACAGTGCTTGGACCCTGATGATTGCTATTACATTTGTAGGCAGTTGCTAAGCACTCATAGGGTTACAACTGTCCATAGAAATCAACTAAATCAATTTCAACTTCACTGCTCATGAAACAAGACTCGCTTTTTCTTTTGGTACTGTTATCTGGTCAATAGAAATTAAACACTTTATCTGTGGGTATGCTGCTGTGCTATGTTTGGGAGAGAGGATTTCCTTCCAGAATTCTCTGCTGGCAGCAGACCCCCATCCTTCTTACAATTAAAATTCATCAGAAGTACACAATTCATCTGAATGCCGTAACCATGATTCATAACTGCAAATTTTGCTAAAAGTCAATGAGTTTGCATGTTTGCATATGAAAACTGCTGGTGCAAAAACATCGGCCAATAATGATTCTGACTGTTTGCGCTGCTTCCAAATGCAATAAAAACACTGCCCAAAAATTAATAAAACATTTGGTTGAAGCAGCTTTTCCTTCTTCATATACCATGAAGTAGCATTAAATTTTTATTGGTAATGCAGTCTTGTGAAAGTTTAGCAGAACACATCTTGCAAATGGTAGCTTTGTTATTACTTTCCTCTAGGCAAAAGTGGTTTAACAGACAGGAACTGTGCCATTTTTGCTTTATTGGATGATACTCATCATAAAGCCTTAATTTAGTTGTAGTCACACCAAGATTATGCCACAGCTATGCAACTGCAGAGCCCAAAATCCTCATAACAGTCCTATAACGAGTATATATGTGCACATGCAGTTGTTTACCTGGGGAAGCCAGAGCGCAGGTGCAGGCCATCCACATTCTGGCTGATGAGGTATTTGAGGTAGCCGGCTCTCTGCAGCTGCAGTAAGGCCATATGAGTCAGACTGGGCTTTGCGTCCTCGAATGTGGTGTCAAAGTGAGGCGTCTCTCCCTTCTCCTCCATTGTCCACACGCCTTTAGGACCTCTGGCAAAAAAAATAAAAAAATTAAAAAACACACACACACACACACACACACACACACACACACACACACACACACACACACACACACACACACACACACACATTTCCAGTAGGGCAAGAAGGATGTGATATGAGACAAAATATGTGAGCAAAACAGTGCCACATGTGCAAGAACGAAAATGTCATTATTCTGGCAGCTTTCTTTTATAAAAACACATATATTTAAGGCAAATGAAACAAATACAATACACAATGTATCTTGTGGAGCAATTAAGAATTTGGTGACACTTTATTTTGAGTGATCCTTTTTAGATGAAATAAACACTTAACAGACTCTCAGTAACATAATGATGTAGCATTGAATACATTCAATAGATTATCAAGACACTTTTAATTAACGGCGTAAATAAAATTTGTTCATAATCTAATGAATTCAGTTGTTTTTCACTTTATTTGAAGTGGCCAAATTCATATCTGTAGATATTAACCTAAGAAGTCAATAAACATGTAACAGGTTTAATACAGACCATCTCAACATCCTCAACAAGCTGTTATAGACATGCTGCTAACACCATTCAGTAAGCGGACTTTGTAGGGTTAGGATTAGGGCCAGGATGAAGGTTATGATTAAGTTTTGGGTTGAGCTTAACATTAGGGTTAGGATTAGGGCCAGGGTTAGGGTTAGATTTTGGGTAAGGTTGGGTAAGGTTAGGTTTTGCTTAACAGAGGTACCATTTAATGTCTACTTCATGTAATATATCAACAATACACTAATTAAGTAATGTATCAAAAGTACATCAAGATATTTACTTCCGTGTATTTAGACGTTGCACCACTGCTACTTCACTGATATGTTACTGATATCCCGATAAGAGTTCATTAATCATCTACAAAGGACCAATTAAAATAAAGTATTACCAGATTTTTAAGAAAACCAACCAGGACCAAGACTTGAAACTTTGTGATCTGAGTGCAGTAAGTATATCACACCAACATTAAGGGGTGATCAAATATTTTGGCCAATTTTTATTAGCCAAGGTATTCAATACTGTTTATTTGCTGAAGGTCGTGCTTTGCAGGCAAAATTAATACACTGATATTAAAAACCTAGGTCAAGAGCTTTAGATATGGTATTAAGACGAGCAATCATACATTATCACATAAGCAGAATACCATATTAATACATCAGCATAGTTATAGTACAAGGTCTCCTAGGCTGAGAGCGACCTTCCCCATGGCTAAAGACTCTTTCCAGGCCAGCAAAGTGACTCTACACTATGGTTTCAGGCTTCTGAATGACTTGTTAATGATTCCTTCAACTCTTCCATGCATAATTGTCTCTGCCAATGAATTGGTTGTTCTCAGAAAATTTCCAAAGTAAGAGAGCTTCGGTTTGGTTTTCTGGGCTCTGAGTGAGAGGTGAGGCTTAATTTGTTTGAGGATCCATTGGTTTGTTTTCTTTGCTGTTCAAGGTTCTCTCAAAATTCTTTGCCAAAGCCAAAGTTGGCAAAGAAAAGGCATCTATGTTTTCCCATGTTGCTTCTTTTTTGTCCAGCTTTCACACCCACAAAAGAACCAGAGAGCAGATCAAGCCTGGCTAAAATTAAAATGGGTGAACAGTTAGCGAAATCGGTACAGATCAGAACTGGCAGATATTTGCTCTTATCACGCAACTGCCATTTCCAATCATGCATCCCTATGCAAACCACAGATCAACACCGATTTCTACTATTAATTTCTACCCAACTCCTGGTCCTCAAGCACCACTGCACTGCATAGTTTAGCTTTTCTTGGTTAGAAAGAGTAAAAAGTTCAGTGCAGGTTTCCTAGAGATCAAGGACTGAGCAAAACTGGTGTAGGTCACAGGCTTTCCAAGAAGTGGAAGGCAACAGGGAGATGCGGTTCTTGATAAATTTGGGGGGTGAGAACTGAGGCTCACATCTGCAGATGCACTTCTTTGAATTCGTCCCTCCTGATCTCACTTACTTTTTCGCCACAGAAATGGCACGACTACAGACTGGCTTTCTGATCTGAGCTCTTGAGGGTAAACAGAAGCAAGAGAAAAACATGTTTTCAGCCCCCGCGACTACAGGAAAAAGTAGAGAGAGATGGAAAAGGAAAGATATACACAAGAAAAGATACAAAAAAAAAGACAAGAGACAGAGAGGAGGGAGAACTGCAGGAGGTCGAGAGAGTTGTAGCCAGCTGTTTGGGTTTGATTAGGGTATAAAGGGTTATCAGCAGTAGTTACAGCAGCCTTCAACTACTCAAGTGATTCCTGAAGGAGTTCCTCAGCACAAGCAGAGAGGAAGATTGCTCCATTTCCATGAAGACAGAGCGACCTACACGGGGGACAGCATCCAATCAGAGCAGACATGAGGGTGCCCTCATCACATGTTTTTTTTCTCCTGCACAAAAAGTCACACACATTTCTATACTTGACACTTGATACTGTATAAGTCATACGGGAAAAAAACTTCATTTTGTGAGGCTACTTTCTTTTCTCCCTCATTTTTGTTAAAACAAAAAATGGATCCGTGACCAAAACAAGCCTCATCTCTCACTTGAAGCTCAGATGTTAGACAGACTTAAGACATATTCTGAGAAAAAAATAACTGGAAAAGAGAATGATGATTGGAACATTTGAAGGTAAAACAGGAAGAGGATGACCAGCTACAAGATGGATGGATACAATCAGAGAAATCATAAACAAGCCATTCAGAAGCCAGTTTTTCATAGCAGTAATTTAGCACTGCGTGAACAGTGCCTTAGTTTGTCAGAACATTGCCAAACATTATATTGTTGCAGCTCTTCACATTTACAGGCCACATTTAAGCAGATAAATTTAGGTTTTGAGTGGCTTAAAAACCTTCATCACTCCCCCGTTCACTGACTAGAATTCGCCCAAAAAGATTTTGATTTTTAAAACAGGGAAACAATGAAACAAATCTTTTCTTATTGTTATAGAATACTGTATTATTTGATAGAAATTAAATGAAAAGAAAATGAAAGTATTTGAAAATATTTGATAGTTGCAGCTTGATATTTTGTATCTTGATACTGCTGTTAGTACCTGACCCTCACGTAGTCTATATTTACCTGGCTGGAACTGTGTGTGATCGTTGACACTGCTCTTCTGACTGTGTGAATACACTTTGTCTCAGGATCCTGTCTGTACGACTGTGTGTGTTTGCTGTGAGACCTTAAGATCTGTATGTCTATCTTGAATAATTGTGTGTATGTGTGCACCTATCAGAAGTGCAGTCTGCCAGGCTGCTCTGTCGCACAAGGACGTCTCTGTTTGACAGTTGCTGTTCCTATGAAACATTAATGGGAAGAACACTGGAGGCACAATGAGTAGCTTCACTCCCTATCAGTCTGTCTAATGACTCACACAATTCTGTCACCAACTCTGCTGCACAAGGCTTTACACACACCCATCTTCAAACACACACACACACTCTCTCTCTGAGGGCAGTAAGAAGGCTAAGCTCACCCATATGAGAGAGGAGCTCTTGCCTTGTATAGAAATGTGGAGCCAGAGTGGATTACTGTCTCTCTCAGGCTCTGACACCGAACCATGTGCTGCATACTGTACAGCCAGAAGCAGGCAAACGCATAACATCGCAACACTTAAGGACATTTTCATGATTCATGGCATGTATGACATTTGGCTTCTTCTGAGATTTGCGAACAAGCTGGAACCGACAAAACGTACCAGCACAACAGAAGTAGCACATTTTAAAAAGTTATGAAATCATGAGAACAATGTAATTTTTTGTTCTTACGACATTTGCAAAGGTTTTAAGTAAATGGTCTGTTTTTACGACATATGCAGTTGTTCAGCGTGCTATAAATACTATGGATACACTGATCATGAATATTTAAGGTCAAAGCTCACACTGTGTGGGGTAAATGAACACATAACACACACCAGCACATTCACAGTACTTTCTATTACAGCCAAAGTTAAAATATACCTAACACTATTTACTCTATAATGGACCAAACTGGCATTTTAAATCTGTAAATGAAAAATTAAATAACTAAAAAATCAGTTTGTCGTTTTCCTAATGGATATGCCAAAATCTGATATTTTTCATGTACACATATCTGCCGATGTCAATGTCGAAATGTTAACATTCATAAAATTTTAATTGGGACTACATTTACCTGAATTGGAATTACTGAGAAATATTTATTTCTGTAGGGTTACAAATGCAGTAAAATGAATAAAATGCAAACATGGCCCAGGGTCTCCTAAACATTCTTCTCTTCTGGATAATAATAAATACTAGGGATGTGCACAGGTACTTGAGTACCGTTCATGGTGCCAGTATCAGAACACTAAAATCACTATTTGGGTCCCTGTTCTGTTTCAGCACAGGAAGACCGAGAAAATATACAGGCTAGCAATTCAATGGAATGCTGCTTTTATGCTTTTATGCTGTATTTGTGAGTAAGCACGGTATTACATACCGAAACACATCTGCCTGAACATGAGCGCAAAGTGAGCAATGTGTTGTTGAGAATGTGATTTGTGAGCCAGATGCAGAGCGGCTTTACTGCTTACTAGGCTAACTACCCTAGCTGAGGATAACTAGGTCTAGAAACAGAGGAAATATATTACTCTGACAAACTAACATGCTGGCAAATCATCCACTGAGGAGAAAAGACCTTGTTTAAGACAACGAGTCCTCATCAGCATCTAGTGTTGTACCAACTGGCTGTAGTTTTAGCTCACACCTGAAGAGGCAGCATCTGTTTAATATTATACAAAAACTACCGATTTCTCCTAGTTTTTTTGAATAATATGTTTTTACATGTTTTTCTCTGCGTTCATCAATTGTTTTTCTACTAATATTTTTTAGCCTTTGTACACCAGCGCTCTCACCTCAAAGGGTTACTTTAATTTCAGCCAAAAGCCATTTTTTTTGTTTTTTTTCTTTCCCCCTGTCAACTGTATAAGAAATAAAACTGATGTTAATATCAGTTAAACA